TTAGATGTAAGAATGAAAAAACTTATTGTTTTGCATATATTCACATTTAGAATGCATAAACTTAAAATAGGTGAAGTTCTTGGTGGTCAGCAGTGTTTAATTCTTTTTTTTGCCCATCTTTCATGAAAAAGTTTGCCACATCTTGGGTTTTGAATACCATTTTTCTAATACGATAGCATGTAGAAAGTTCCAGTTCTAGAAGAGCTCTAACTGGATAATTGCTATCATCCCTTTGATTAGCCCAGTGTAACTTATCAGCACTCAAAAGCATTACCTTGACAGTGTTTCTACGGTAAGATAATTTTTCCTCATTTTTTTTTCCCTTACTCTCTGGATTGTATCATCTTTTGAACTACCCTGCATGACCACCTTCCCTGCAGTGTAATGATATCCAAATGTATTTTAGACAGAGTAGTTCTGCCCACTGAAGAAAAACAGTATGCATTTCTTGCATGTAGAGGTCACAGAAATTATACTGTGTAAAGTGGAAAAGCTTAGAGAAAGTATCAGAAGGCTTTCAGCATAAAGATGGCTTTATGAATGACCCAGGAGAGCAGGTAGGAATGAGAAGTGCTCTTTGTATAAAGAAATAGATCTCTGTTCCCTTGTACCTCTTTTACATGCAGTATTTTCAACATAATAGCAAGTATCTGATCTGTGATTTAAACAGTATCTTTATTTGAACTGGTTTTGTTTGGCCAGTTTTTTTAAAACTCTGGGTTTATGATACTTTTCTTGTCAGACTCTCAGGAGGATTAAAAAAAAGGCTGTGGAAGCAGCTATGCTACAGGTTTATGTCACCTATTATAGTTCTACAGAAGGTCTGTGTCTGGGAGATATTGCAGTTTTGGTATCTTAGAATCACATAATCATTAAGGTTGAAAAGACCTTCAATATCACCAAGTCCAACCTTTGACTGAATACCACCTTGCCAACTAGACCATGGCACTAAGTGTCACATCCTGTTGTTCCTTGAACACCTCCAGGGATGGCGACTCTACCACTTCCCTGGGCAGCCCATTACAACACTTGACAAACCCTTCTGTCAAGAAATTCTTCCAAATGTTCGACCTGAACCTCCCCTGGCTCAGCTTGAAGCCATTTCTTTTTGTCTTATCACTTGTTACCTGGGAGAAGGGGCCAACCCCCACCTTGCTACAACCTCCTTTCAGGTAGTTGTAGACAGAGATAAGGTTTCCCCGGGCCTCCTTTTCTCTGGGCTAAACAACTCCACGCTCTCAGCTGCTCCTCGTAAGACTTGTGCTCCAGACCCTTTATGAGCTTCGTTGCCCTTCTCTGAACATGCTCCAGCACCTCAGTGTCTTTGCCTAGTGAGGGGCCCAAAACCAGACACAGGATTTGAGGTGTGACCTCACCAGTGCTGAGTGCAGGGAGATTGTCACTGCCCTGGTCCTGGCTGGCCACACTGTGCTTGATACAGGCCAGGATGTTGTTGGCCTTTGTGGCCATCTGGGCACACTGCTGGCTCATACTCAGCCACTGTTGACCAGCACCCCTGTGTCCTTTTTTGCTGGACCTCTTTCCAGCCAATCCGCTCCCAGTCTTTAGAGATGCCTGGGGTTGTTGTGACCCAAGGGCAGGACCTGGCTTCCAACTTCTTTTCTTCTGCTTTCCCTGCCTTCCATGCTTACCAGCTAATAGAATTTTATTTCAGATTCAAGCTTGTATTCTTCTCCTCAGCCAAGGAATTTTTGGAGTAAGCATGAGAAGGAGTTGTTGAAAAATTGCTGGGTGTTTGCATAAGTGATATTCTTCAAGTGAGATTTTTATGTAGTAGAACATAGATTTTTTTAGGACTCTGTAAGCGTATAGAGCCACTTGACAAACACGAAACAACTCTGGCTACTGTTCACAGGCAGTGTCTGAAAGCTGTTGAAATACCTATGCTGAAATGCAGTGTAGTCTTAACTCGGTCACAATTTCAGTAGCTTCTGCATATGTGTTCTGGATCTAGACTGCAAGCGGTATTTTTTTGACCTCGCCAATGTCCCAGGGACATGTTATCTCCTTACTTTCATTCTCCTTGGGGAGCATTGGTGATATGTAGCTCCTGACCAGCATGTCAAGTTCCAAGTGATGTGCTGCTTCCTTGGTAAAAGGAGTTCATTTTCTCTGTGTTGTGTTAGCACCAGGTGGTCCCAGTGCTAACAATTCTTGCTATGTGGGGCAATATTTACAAGGTGGACAAAATTAGAATTTTGTGGGTTTTAATGCAGAGAGAGAGAGACAGTACTTCCTTAAGTGCCTGCCAGTGCCAGCACCATACTTTTAGAGTCAGATGAGAATTTCTTTTGTCTCCACACTGCTCTTCATATTCATACAAAAACTATCATGGCATAGCTGCTCTGAAGGAAAGCTGCAAGAAACCCCAGAAGTTAGCAGTAGTAGAAATAAAACTTATTTCCTTCTCAAATGCAGAACTCACCAGAGATCAGAATTCCTTTCCTGGGGAGGGAAGAATGGTGCCTTATAAGTCAGCATGTGTGGAAAGAAAGAGTTTCCTAAGGCCAGTAATTTCTCATCTAAGGTCACTCTCCTTGCTCTTTCTTTTTCAAAAGATGTGACTTTCTACAAGCACAGAGATAATAAGTAATGTGTGAGTGTGCATAGCAGCTTGTAGAAGTAAGGATGATTTTCTGTTCAGATCTAGCAGCTATAGCTCATAAACCTGCTTTGCTTTGTTTCAGCAGTAATATCTTGATACTTCATAGTATGGGAAGAGGTGTCAGCTTCTCTGCAAGTGAGTAGTTTAGAAGTTTATACCTCTTTCTGCATGGAATCTATAATGCCAACACTTTGTAGGACTCCTCATGATATGAATGGATGGTGATGGAAGACTTGGAATATTTAAGAGTGGTTTTACGAGGGAGAGGATGCTGCATCTTAAAAGCCTGGGAGATGCTACAGGCACTCTTGCATACATGAGTGTGTATGTATGTAGGCACTAGAATAAATGTACTGTATACACACACACACTTTTATATATACATATTGTCTCAGTTTAATGAGACTGAAGTGTTTTCCTAAGGAGAATGAGTTATGAGGAAGACCAAGATCCTCCCTCTAAACAATTGTAAATCCGAAATTAAGAGGCTCCAATTGAGGAAGTATGGAGAAAGAAAAAAAAATAACAGCCCTTTATTAAAGGATATATGTGTATTGGCAGAACAACAAAAGAGCACGAAAACAACTAAACAATAATCCTGTACCCAAAAACCCCCTTCAAAAAGGAAACAGTTCAGTACTTTCTGCCTTTTGGTGCAGTTCTAACCACGATCAGCAGGGGGTGCTGTCGGATCTCGAGGAGCAGAGCCTGCAGTTTCTCGGTGTTGGTCAGCAGGGGGTGCTGTTGGGCTCTGGCGGTCGCTGTGTGGGGCTCTGGTGCGCAGGAGAAGTCGAAAATGGAGATTTGCCCCCAACGAGAAGGGGAAGGAGAAAAGAGGGGAAAAAGGGAGTCTTGCTGCAAACTCATGCTGTCGGTGGCTGGCTCCGGCCGGGACTCTCCCAAAGGTTCCTTCACAGAAGGGTCAGCCTCTCTGATGAAATCTGAGCAAGTCTGGGCTGGGGACAGAACAGGGCACAGGAGAACGGAGGCAAACCGCGGCCAGAAGCAGCCAGATGACCCTGACGAGCCTTTCCACACACACCCCCTCCCTGAGTCAGGGCAAAAGTGAAGTGCCTGCCGTTTCCTGAGGAGAGGGAAAAAAACCCAATTCATCACACACACACACCACACACACCCCCTTTTGAGGGCTGTCAGCCTGGAATGTGGATCTGCTAGCTAGTTCCTTTGTGTGTGTCAATCACCCTAGGCAAACACTCACCCCCTCCCTCGTTCATCATCTTTCTTTTACAGCGATGTAGGGGAAAGAAAAAAAATTCTCCCTTGGTTTTTTTAGAACAAGTAAACCTATGACACACACTTTTATATATACATATGTTCCCTTAGTGTTTTTTGTGATTAACTGTTTGCATCAATTTCAGGTAAGTATTCAGTTCTGAGAAGGAGATTGCAACTGCACAAAAGGAAAGAAAAGAAGCACAAAGAGAATGAAGGAAGGAAAGTCAGAAGGAAGTAATAGGAGGAGGGCAGGATTGAGTAGTTCAGGGAAGTGGGTGAAATAAAGTACAGAATGGAAGTATAATTACATTTTCTTGCTTGAGGAGAAAGAGTTCTTCGTTCTGTAATCAGACCAAATATTATAATATAATAAACTTGAGTAAAAACTACAATAGAAAAAAATTGGCTGAATAGGCATGTTTTCTTGGGGGGGGTATCACCTGGTACTGCAAATGGCCACAAGATAGATGATTAAGTCTTGTAGTTGGTACAGCACTGCAGTTGTTCTCTGTCTTCACGGATAGTAACAAGTTTTCTTGGTCAGGCAAGCATGGAGAAAAAGTACTCTTCAGAATATCATAAGTATTTAAAATAATGATTGGGCAGCATTTTGGGAAGATCCAAAATCATACTCTTCATCATGTAAGCAGTTTATTCTATGACCTAAAGAAGCCTGATTGTATGATGTTCTGACTTTTGCTGTCTTAGGTATGAGAGACCATTATTAAGGTGATAACTATTTTAACTTTTCTAAAGGAAAAAGTTACTTAGCAGGAGTCTACAGTAGTAGATTGTGTAAAGGAAGTTTAATCTTACTTCAAAATGGAGGCAGGAAAGCTCTGCCACGTGAAAGCTTTTCTGTCACACATGGTAAAAGCATAAATGATAGAGGTGGGTTCTGCCTTTACCAAAGTTCATTTTACAGAGTTGCTAGTGGGAGGAATTCCTGGAGGCGACACTTAAAATAACCACCTTCTTAGCACTTTTTGTTGGCCAGTGTAGCTGGAGATGTTGATTCTTTAATGGTTCTAAATGTTATAATGTAATCTCATTTGAGACTGAAGTGAAACGGTGTTGGCCTGAGCGCCATTGCTAAGTAGATACTCATTTAAAAAAAACAAAACAAAAACTGTTCCAGGATGTGCGTGAATACAGAGAGGATGACGAGCAGGTGGACATTGAGACCGTGGAGGAGCTTTCAGAGAAGATTAACATTGCCCGTCTGAAGGCCACAGCTGCTAAAATCGAACCTTCCGAACAGAAGTAAGCATCCTTGGAGAGCACTGCATTCAGTTGTGTATTTTATTGATTAGCTGGCATCAAATTAACCCAGTAAGCAACAGGTTTAATGTGATGACAAGATAAAGCAAGGTTTCTGTCAGGCCTTCCTGAGCACTGGTGCTTCCCAGTGTCTGTGAGGATGGTGCTGTCAGAACTAAGAGCAGTTTCAAGGTACCTTAGCCCTTTTTTTTCCCCTCTAATTAATTTGTTTATGGGGATGTGTATCTTGTTATGTAAAATTATTGAGTGAATCGCCTCCCTTCCTGCAGACTGAATATGAGCGGGGTCATCATTGTTTTAAACGTGATTTTGCAAGCTTTGTTTATTCTTGCTGGTGGAATTCAGGCAGGAACAGTCATTGGGTTAATCCCTGACTTTGTGAATGAAAGCTTTGTCTTTAGGGCCATTGCCTGAGCAAAGAAAGTATTTTCTTATTGACATATAGTCTGTTAAGGTTGGATAGCTTGACTTTATTTTTTTGGTTTGTTGTTTTTGTTACTGTTGCTTCCCTTGCATTTATAGTGACAAATGCAAAGTAAAAACATGGCTTACTTGAGGTACGTAATGATAGTCATGGCTGTTTCTCAGTTGCACCAAACAAATGAATGGGGAATGTTTCATTTAATAGTTCTTTTTGTTTGAAGAATTTTTTTGTCGAAACTTTGAAAAAACTGGTTATGCTATATACCTCCCAGATAGTTCATTTCCTGCCCCCCTCTTTTAAAGATGCAGCTCCACTTTTATCCTTAGATAGTGACTTTGCTTTAAATTATGAAGATCTTTCAGTGACGAACAGATGTCACGATTTGTAAAAAATATTTTTCAAATGTGTGTGTTCTTTGTTTTCTTGCAGCTCCTGAGATATGAGGAAGCTGCTGTTATTATATATTAGGATAGTAATAAATGTGAGGATTTTGATGGTGGTTCTTGGTGGTGGAAGGGTTGCTGTGCCATCTATATTAAATCTGTTTTCTTAAAAAATGTAATTTACCAAAACATAATTTAAAAAATTACTTTATGCAGCTAACAGTCACAGGCTGAATTTATTCTCTTTGGCATATAGTGAAATAGTTTGTCTTTAGCACTATGAGATAATTGCACAGCTTTCAGAACAGTTCAATTATTTCCAGGATAATGGCATTGGAGATAGAGTTCACTTCCTTGAGAAAGCTCAACATTATCCTGCTTTCATGCAGTTATACAAAGAAAAGTTAATTTCAAGGCATCAAAACGAGCAATTCTAGACTGTTGGAATGTAGTTAATGAGGATAGAGTATATGAGATGAGTAGTGTTGGGAAAAACTTTTTACCTTTCTTCCAGATACCATCCTCCTAATTCTTCGGATGAAACATTATCAGAAAAACATACGAAGGTATATTTTGCTCTTCTCTTTCCTTTTGGTATCACACTTCCATTTTAAAGATAAATTTTCATCTCAAGGGCAACTCTTAATGTGATTTATCTGCCTTCCAGATACTTGTGATTAAATGCAAGAAACCAAATGTGTTTATGCAGGGAGGGTGCTCAGTCCATATCTCATTCAAGCAAAAGGACTGCTGCTGGTATCAGTGGGCTTCAGATTCAGCTTTATCTATGGGAGGAATATCTGTGTTTTATTTATGACTGTGTTTGCTTAGGTTTTGTGTTCTTGACATAAGTAATTTTTACAGCACACTAAAAATAATAAGAAATACTTTCATGTATAAGAAGACAGTATGTGGGATTATATAGGCATAGCCTTGGGTGCAGGGTTTCTGAAAACAAGAGTTCAAACAAAATGTATTTAGGCAAGTTAAAGATATCACAGAATCCTTTCAAATCAAAACTCACTGCAATCCTTCAGAATTTTCTACTGTATTTGAGGGTGGCTTTGAAGCCAGTTTTGCTAACTGTCCTTGATAACTGTCTGTGATATATTTGATGTCAGCTCTAGAGCTACCTACTGCGGTGGGGTGGGGCTTTGGGGTGTAGTGTGAACCTGTTGTATGTCTTGCACACCAGTCTGCTCTATTATGTAAGCCTTTGCCTGAGACGAGATGGGTTACGGGTTGCTCTGCCTGTCTCACCTTCTCCATGTGTCCTCCACTCTGCCCTTAAATTTATGTTGTAAGGCCCTTCCTTCAAAGGAACCTAATGCCCAACAGAGGGGCAGATGCACCTGTACTGTACTCAAGTCTGTCCTGTGAGGACAAAATGGATATTGAGAGACAGTCTTCAGATTCCTTCTAAGGCCAGAAGGCTGAGGTTTGAAGCAGACCTAAAATTACCCAGAAACCTGCGTTAATTACTTCCCCATTAAATAAATAGCATAATTATACAAAACCTGTAAGAGTAATGACGAAACAGCAAACTTTCAAATCTGTAAAGATTAGTAATTTTGCTTATTGTCTGTCAGTCTTTTTAGAAATTTGAGCAAATTGAAAACCAGAGCCTCTTTGCCACATTCTGTTTCTTGGTGGATGTCTGGGGTGATAGGTGTCAATGCCGTCTTCGACATTCTTACTTACAATGTCTCTTGGCCCCAACCCATATGAACCTGTGAAAGAAAATGGAAATCCAATTAGTTTAACTTCAGGGAAAAATTCAAGTCTCCTATATTTGGTGTGATTATTTCATTCGTTAGTAGACTTTTTTTTGACAAGCACACAACAAAAAATATTTGGCTCAAACATGTATGATTTTGCTGTAATCCCATGGTTTGTCTAAGTAGCCTTGTATTGCAAAAAATAAAAGCTTATGAATAGAAGGGACTCATGATCTTTTCCTTCAGGGTTGATATGATTTTGTTGGTCACTTCTTTGGTCAGCATTTCATTTCTTATTGCGTGTGCTTCTGACTCTGAACTTTCATGAAGACATAGTAGCAGGATAGTATGACATGGAATCTTCAGGTGTCTGTAGAAATATTGTAAAACATGCTTACATTTGAACATTTTTTGCCATTACGTTGCCTTTTTTATTTAAATTGGTCAATCTGGTTACTTCTCCAGCAGAAACATCAGACCTGGAAAAGAAAGCTGAAGTCTCAGGCAGAAGCCTTTGCTCATTACCGCCAGACACACACAGCAAATGAACGTCGGCGACGCAATGAAATGAGAGGTCTCTTTGACAAGTTAAAGAAAGTTCTGGGGTTGCAGAATCTTCCCAAGGTCTCCAAATGCTACATTCTCAAGCAGGTAAGTATTTTGAAACTTAAGTGAGGAAGAGAATCATTTAATCTGTACAGAGTAATTACACTAGTATGAACTCATCAAGTGAGTCCCCGTGAATAGAGAACTTCTGTCACCTCTGCAGGGCTCTAGAATGAAACAATATCTGAAAGAATCTGTATTCCTAAAAGCTTAATCTTGATGACACAAACGCATGTTTTGGATTAGCCCTCCCCTTGTATTCCTTGTGAATAATGGACGGTTAAGTCTTAATTCCTTAACGGTTTACTGTGCACATCAGGAAATTTTGAAACCCATTGAAGGCTTACTTCTTGAATGTTGCAGAAGATAGCATTCCATTAGGTATCATACTGACACTAAAAACTTAATTGAGAAGTTGTAAATTACAGGAAACAAAAATATAATCTGTAGATATATATAATTGTGCTTGTCATCTGTAACTAGAAACTGTGGGATAAAAGTCGGGATTTTTTCTTAAAAATTGTTGAACTTTGGAGGAGGGACAAATAAGATGTTTATCACTCTTCAACCTACATTTAGAGAAAGCTGGCATTCCATATTTCATGCTTTTTCTGAGTCCTGTGTTTTTGGGATTACAAAAATGTCTAAAATTTTGTAAAGGTTTCTGAGAAGGAAAATGATTTTATTATTTTTTGTGTCACTGGCTTATAAATCAGTTCCCTCATACTTTTCTAGGCCTTTGAAGAAATCCAAGGCCTGACAGATCAGGCAGATAAGTTTATTGCACAGAAGAGCTTACTGACACGCAGACGTGATTGTCTGATTCGAAAAGTATCCACGCTTTCAGGTGAGACTGGTTTTGGATACAAACTAGTTGTAATAATGAAAGGAAAGGCTTTTAGGAGTGGGAATGAGTGGAGTAATCTGTGGATCCAGGTATGTCATTAGTTCACATAAAATTTAGACTCACTGCAAAACGAAGTCGTGCTAGGCCCTGACTCAGTGATAGGCTCTTCATGCTGATAAGAACTGCTTTTGTTTTCCATCATGCGCAAAGGAAGTGTAGAATTATCTTTGTGCTTCGAGCCAGGGGCTTGGGTTCCTTTGGAAGGGTGGGAGTGACAAGTGATGGTGTGACTTCATTCTGTCATTTAAAGTCAGTTCCTGAAATGATTTTTCTGCTCAGTCCTTCACAATTGTACACAGCTGTCTTTGGTCAGTACCAAAACTTCTGATTCCTTTCATAGCTTTGCAAATAATACTGCTTTTCCAACAACCAGTGCTGGCAGCTCTGTCCGTAGAACAAAACTGCAGTAGAGTCTTAGCTGCTGCTCATCCAGGCATTTCAAGCCAAAACCATGTTGTACTTGCTGTGTCTTTCTGTCTCATTTGGAGGTGTAGGAATGCTGTGACACATTTTCAGCCAGTGCCAAAATGTGTGAAAAAAACAAAACATTATTCCTGTAATCTTCTTACAGGCTGGGAACATAAACAGGAGAATACCTGTAAAGTAGAAATGAAGGATACTTAAATATAGTGTATTTATGTGAACCAGTTCATGTGTATTTGAGGTACTTCACTTAAAAAAAAAATGTAAGAAGTGTTTTAGGGAGGCCTAGTAATACAGAAATCTATGAGAGGCCTTTTGGGCAAAGAATGAAAGCAAATAACTTCACAAAGTAGTTATCAGATCTTTTGCATTCCTAGTGAAGTGCCTCAAAGTTGATGAGGAAAAAGTCCTCTCTCAGGAGAATTAGTTAAATATAGACAGAAAAACTAAGCAGAAAACAAGCTAGTATAGTTACTTCAACTTTGGTCATATTAAACTGTATGCATCTGCAGAAATATAAAATTTGTGTGTTTGTCCAAGGTTAGAATTTTCATGGCAAGGGTAAACTATACATGAATTTGAATAACAGGGTCCATTAGTCCAAGAAATTTCATTCTAGGTAAAAGTAACATTTTATCCAGTAGTCGTACATTCATCATAAGAGAGATGGGAGGATTTTTCATAGCTGTGGGTGTTTTCAAATAGTACTTGTTCAGCAAGAGCCTGTTCTTGTCCAAGCTGATTTCTGCTTTTTAAAGTGACAGATAAATTCTGAAATGTATTGATGTTTCTGAAGGAAAAAATTATACTGGAATAAATAGGTAATTGCTTCCCTCTGATACTAAATATGCTATTTACTTGATGGGGATGGTGGTTATCTGTTATATAGTAATTGTATGGTGTCAATGGATTTTTAATTCTGTCTTCGGTGGTTTAGTTTTGGAAAAAATTTGAAGATAGGCTGACTCTGTGATAATTTTTCTGTAGGAAAGACAGAGGAGGTTGTCCTGAAGAAACTGGAATATATTTATGCCAAACAAAAAGCAATAGAAGCCCAAAAAAAAAAGAAAGAACCCGAGCCAGAGAAATCTGCTGCAACCTCAACTGCTAGCACACAGCAAGAAGGATCCTCTGCTCCCCACAGAGAGCCGACCCAGATAGCAATGACAAACAGAAGAGGCAAGCCATTGATACTTGCCAGAAGAGGAGTCCGCGCCACAGGTGGGCTAAAAGGGATGCATGCTTTGCATAAGGCGGAGACAGGCATTGAAGCAGCACCCCCTGGGAGGACAAAATGCCAGGTGGCTTGTGCAGGCAGCTTCACTCTTGAAACAGACTTGTGTATAGAACCAGGAAGTGTCCATGTGATAGGTGTGGAAACCATTTGCGTTCAGTAAGGATGAGACCAACACTACTGAGATCTTCAGATGAACATGACTTTGGAGTTTCAGCATGATGGGAAGTAAATTCTTATTAAGTTGTCCTTTGGTCTCTGGGAGTATCACTGCAATCTGGGAGTAATTTTTGAGAGTCAAAGGTGGTACTTTTTCTGCTGACTCAAAACTTTAAGTTCAACTCCCAGAATGCTGGAGTTGCTAGAATTGATTCAGTTTTTAAAACCTCACTCTTCAAACAAGCTAGCTCTTGAGGTGGTGGAAACTTGCTCTTAAATCAAATGACAGAGTTATCAGACACTTGAGAATTTTTTTGGAGCTGAGAATTGGTGGTGTTCGGCATTTATGGAGACCTTCACACCATAAATGTAGGAAGGAACAAAAGAAAACAGAAATCCAAACTTTTGTGGTAGTACCACTGCAATACTCTGTGGAGATCTGGTGATGTTTCTTGTTTTGGAAATATTAAGTAGACCTTACTTGAAGTATTCTTGGGCTTTTATAAACAACTGGTCATTCTGGTTTACCAAGCTTAATGTTTGTCCAGTCCTGGGGAAGTTTGGCATCAAAGTTCAGATGTGATGAGAGAACTTCCTTGCTTTCTTTGGACTGAACCAAGTCCCCTTTGTAATTTCAGCCAGACTGCTCTGATATTTGATCTGGATGCCAGTCTGGAGAGTTAGGATTGTTACACTACATGAAGAGATAGTATAAACTGTCTTTAGCTGTGTAGGTGCAGTTCCTGGAGCCTGCATAGCGTCTGTAGCAGCTTTTATTCTGGGCTTTGTAAACCTTCTGGCTGGAGTTGCTTCCACAACTGTACTTAATGCTGGATTGCAGGATGCTGTTTGCCATCAAGGGTGCTATGCCAGAATAAATTGGTGTTTTGCATACTTCCTTTTTTACAGAGGACTCCTCAGCCTCTCTTACCCTAACAGCTGCAAGCGTAGTGATGACTCCACAGGGGCAGGTGCTTACGCTGAAGAGCCCCCTGGTCCCAGGACAGGTAGCAGCTGTTCCTTCCACACTGTTGCAAGCCGAGTTAAAGCCTCGAGCTGTCGGTACTACCATGACAGCACAACCAGGTATGATCATGTGAGAACATGTTAATGAATATCAGTATAATGCTGTTCATGGATGTGCACAGCAGTTTACAAAGTAATGTGTTACTTAATTTTTGCTTTAATTTTTCGGATTTTTTTACAACTTAACTGACTGAGGTACAACCTGGCTCTTATAAGAGAGATTTGATGAAATTAATTCAAACTATCAATTTATCAACAGGTAAGTAAAACATGTTAAATTTTTGCTGTTCACAAATTAGGTAAACGTAGGGAAGAATTCCTAATCGCATAACCAGTCTGTATTTCTATTTTTACTACTTTAAGGTGTTATTATAATAAGTAAAGCCTTATAATAAGTAAAGTCTTGCCTAGAAGTGCACAGCTCTTATTTTCCAGGCTTAACTGAGTATCTGAAAGGCTCTTATTTCCACCTCACCCCCCTTCCCCTTTTCTTGCATAAGGTATTACTTCTGTGATGATTCAACTGCCAGGATCAACAGTTCCTGTCCAAGTAAAAGGAATCCTTACTAACTCTACCATTCCCATTACACTGTCGACCGTTCCTGGAAATCCAGTGCCCTCAACAGCGGTATCAGCTGCGATGCCCCATTCAGGTAAACTCTTTGTTTTCATGGATCTCTGTGCTTGCATGCAGGGTACATTATCCTTGCAAAACGGAAGGTAAATTGTTTTCTCACTAGGAAGTAATGATAAGTATTATTGTCTGGGTATTCAAAGAAAATCACTATTAAATGTTTTGAACCATTTAGAGGGGCCTCTAGGGGATTATAGGTGAGAGCTTTTTAACTTTCCTTCACCTCACTGAGCCTCCTTGCCCTCAGCAAAGTCAGAATAAGTGGAGACTGAAATGCGTCCCTAGTGTAATGCATCCTCCTGGGGAAGGTGCAGTGCAGAGTGGTGGTATGGCTGCTGAAAATCTTTGCCCATCCAGGCTGTTACTCTGGCATAACCCCTTCCCATACCTTGCCAGCTCTGCTGCCTGTGGAATAGCTGTTTTTCAAGACCCCATACTGGTAGTGGATCTAGGCATGGGGAGGTTCCTGCCAGCAGTGTGCTGATTGCTGTCTGTTGTGTTTAAATCAAGTCACCTACTTTCTGCTTGACTGTAGTCATTTGGTCACAATGAAAAAGGAAAGTTCATTTCAGATTTGGGGCTGGGAAAAATCTGAGTGCTAATAACAGGGAACTGCTTGGAAGCAGAAAATAAGTAATTGTTTAGTCCCTGAAATTCCTCTGTAGTGCACAAGATGTGAGCATAAAAGCAAAGCATGAAAAAACAGTAAGAGGGAAGATTGTCATTCTGTTTTCCTTGTGCATCACCATCAGAACTTTAAGCATTACAGTTAGTTGCATTGTGCCAGGCTGCTGCAGGACAGGACTGGGCAGGAAGTGCTGTGGAGCTTGCTCTTGTTCTACAAGTTGAAAATTTAATTGTTGCTGTGTTAAAGCTTCACTTGACCAAACCTGTGTAATCAGTTTAAATTGTGAATAGCAGTTTACTTGAGGACGACCTGAAAGTAGGCAAATTATATTTAACTAGGAATTACCTTGCAGTTAACATGTATCCTGATGGATGCTGCTTTATGTGGTTTTGCAGAAAGCGAAGATTCATTCATGATGCCAAAGATTGTTAATGTAACATCACTGGCTGCTGAGGCAAGCATGAATCTAAACCTGAACCGAAACAAAAATTCTAATATGACAACAGCTGCAGGTACTCCAGCTTCTGAGAAATCTTTGGCTGTAGCACCTCTTGAAACTAGGAAGAGTGATAGCATCCTTTCAGAAGAAACAGTCAAACCATGTCCAGGAGACAGTGGTGGAGATGGAAGAAATGCCACAGGTCCTACAAAAGTTTTCTTTGAAAATAAAGATGGCCTTCCACAACTCCGGAACATACCACGTACAAAAGAACCTTCAGAGTCATTCAGCAAAAAGCTCTGCATTGGAGAGTTTGTAGGAAGCCAAGCCAGGAGGAAAGACAGTGATCCTGGAGGAGAAAGATTAAAATCTAAAGAAATGCCATTCCGTAAGCTGCAGATCAAAGATTCCAGGATAGAAATGGAATTGAGGAAAGTAGCATCTGCAATGGAGGAAGCAGACCTGGATACAAGTGAGATACTGAGCAGCATTGAGGAAAGCGATGACACTGATGAAACCCTCACTTCGCTGCTCAATGAGATCGCCTTCCTCAATCAGCAGCTGAATGATGATGCTTCAGCTATGTCAGAACTGCCCACCACTCTCAACTCAGATTTCTCTCGTAAAGATGCAGAAGCTCGTCGGGGAACAGCCAGTGATCTCTCTGCTGCGGATGGGTCTTCCTTCCAGTTTGGCCATTTGGGAGGCAGTTTTAAGGACCTTTCTGAAGTTCCAGAGGGTGGTGGCTCTTTAAGCCCTCTCTTGCTGCATCTGGAAGATGATGACCTTAGTGATGGGGACAAGATCTCTGGAGAGCCTTCAGCTGAAGCAGATGTCTTAAAGATAGTGATAGGTGCTGAAGTGAAGAATCCACTTTCCAATCTCTCTGTAACCAGTGGTGGGAATGGCAAAACTGTAACAACCTTGTCAGATACCACTAATGTGACTCCACCAGTTTTGCAGATGAAGGCTAATCCAGAAGCCAGTAATGTTGAAACTTCATGGAGGCCCATGCCCAAGCTGGCACCACTGGGTTTAAAAGTGGCAAGTCTGCCAGTGGACTCAGAAGGGCAGAGTAATAAAGTGATGCCCTTATTGGCACCTGTAGTTGGAAAACTGGCACCTAGTGGGGTAAAAACTTCATTGCCTGCAACTCTTCAAGAAGGACAGGATAACAAAGTGATGCCCACATTAGCACCTGTGGCTACGAAATTGAATACTACTGGGATCTTGCCTTCAAATTCAGCAGGCAAATAAATGAAGGGGGTTTTTTATCAGAGACTGGAATGGAGATGTGGAGCAGAGTGAGCCAGTGTCATTGTTCAGCAGCTTCCATTGTCAGCAACACTTGTTTTCTGTAGGCATCAACACTCTGTTCATCTGAGGGGCAGGCCCCAAACTGAGAGATAAGTATTATGAAACTTCAGCATGTTGACATATTTTTACCTCACTGTTTTATTCTGGGTGTTCTCCTTCCCCTTCTCAAAACAAATAAGATGATCTATAACGATTGCTGGGCACATGGTATCCTCCCAAAATTGGATCCTTCACAGAAATAGTTTTTCAAAGGACTTAGAAACTGAGGCTGTTGAAAGAGATTTTTTTTTTTCTCTCCTCAGTAGGGAGGCAGCTGACTTGTTGGGGAAAGAAATCTGGATTACATGTTTTTATACCATGTAAATTATCTATGCAGAAATGGCATTGTTCACATTTGGTGGTTTTAGTATTTGCAGAATATGATAAAGGTGCAGAAATCAGGTTGCAGTTACTCTTGAAGTTGTTAAGCGGAAGGGAAATCAGACTGTGCAGACGGCTGAAGTAAGTGCAAAGGATTTTTTTCTTTGGTGCTAGATAGTTCTCTAGCAGATATTAGTTTTAGGAGCTTATGCACAGAAAATTTTAATAAATGTCTGACTCTCACTGCTTGGGGAAGAAAAATATATTTCCCAGTGTAATTAGAAGTAGGACAGTATGTTAACTTTAATAAAACTGTCCTCGCTTTCACCTCCTGCTCCCAGACAAGTACTCCCTCCTTTGATGGACATCTGTAAGGAAAAATTACAGAGAGTTGAAAGCAAATGTGGACACTCCATTGCTACGTCTTTAAATACAATGCTGAAGTAGCTTGAGTGTTTTCCCAGTTCCTAGTTTTTTTCCTTCTGTCATTCTTCAAGATGTATGTGGTGGCCAGGAGTGTTGATGCCAAGTGTTGCTTTGGAAAAATACAGAACACTTTCAGGACTGTTGTAGCCTAGCATAAGTGAGCAAGGTGTATATGTGAATGTATATATGAAAATATGTGTACAGCTTTTCAAACCTTTCATTTCTTTATGAATTCAGGAAAGGTACTCAGAGGTTTCTCACTGCATTTGCACAAGCTGTGTATAGCAAAAAATGTCAACAAAAATGCTCATTACCAGGGAAAAAGGGCAGTATTGAATCATGAGATGTATTTTTTATTCTTCTCTACCACTGCTTACTCAGTAACCTGTAGATGCTCTTCACTGCTTAACTGTTGGATGTGAAGGGCCTCCAAACTGTAAAGATATTTATATTTTTGTACACAATTTCTGTTTTCATAATTTTCTTGACAAATGAAGTTTTCAGCCTAGGAGAGAGGATTTGTTAATGAGTGTAAACACAATCTTTTCCTATCAGGTTTGTAAATATGGTGTGCTTGGGGGTCTTTTTAACTGCTCCAAAAAGGTAAAAAATGTTGCCATGAAAATTGAAAATTATACAGAATTTGATGGTGCATTTTGCTTTATGTTTAAGAATGTAATTCTATGTTGTTCCAGCTACAGCAGCTGGGATCACCCCCACCCTCCAAATGCCCCATCTTTGGTGATGCAGTACAGGAATTTCATCTTTCCAGCGCTGAGGTTGTGCAGGTGTTGTGAGTGATGTTCTTCCACAGTTAGGGAGCAATGTTTGTACTCAGAGCAAACATATGCCCTGTTCAGTAAGCTGCATTTTCTGGATCCATGTCTACATTAGATCCATCAGGGAATACACGTATCTTGGGTGTTTCCTTATCTCTTTATTAGCTTATATAGGAGAGCTTATAGGAGAGAAGCCCTTCAAGCGCAATATGCATAAAGTTACTCCAGAAACTACATAAAAAAGGTTCTTCACTTGGCCATTCTAAACAGTGTGTTATAAAGCAGTTACATACAACTCTCTGTTGCCTTTTGCATATTTATTATTTAATATTCGGTACAAGTTCTGTATTGGTGATTTGGAAAAGAGAGTTTAGGTCATTATGAGAGTCCTGCAGGGTCTTACAGTTGTCACTGAATGCCTTAGGAAAGGGGATTTACATTCCCAGGAAGTACTTTGACATACGTTGCTTATTATTAAGGAATTTTAACCTTATTTTAAACCAGTAGAAATCTGGAGTAATTAAAGTAGTTTACTAGCACTACATCAGACTTAAGTGTTATTTATCTGGGAATCTGGTTCTGAGCATTTCCAATAGGCTGAAGTTGCTTATTTTTTTACTTGTGGCAGTTTGTTTTGCCAATAGATTTTATTCTTCCTGTGTGAGAAACAGCAACCAGACCTGTGCTATGATTCCTTTCAAATTCCTAATCACTGACCCTTCTTTCTGTACCTCACCCTTTTATGGTTCCAAATAGCTGATTTTAATTAGCACACAGAATTGTGTGTTTTCTCTGGGACAGAGAAGGCTGTAACTTACCATGATAATTGATCAGACATGATCTAAAATAAATGCTGTACTTTTGAGGATGTTCTGTTCATTATCGCATAGTGTAAAATTCCTGGATGTATTTACTGCTTGGCATTGGGCACTAAGTAACTTTACTGCAATAAAAATGTACTGTGTAAAGTTGACAAATTTACTGCTTGGCATTGGGCACTAAGTAACTTTACTGCAATAAAAATGTACTGTGTAAAGGTGACAAATTTATTGCTTGGCATTGGGCACTAAGTAACTTTACTGCAATAAAAATGTACTGTGTAAAGGTGACAGCAAAAATTTTTGGGCCCTGAATGTGATTACTAAATTAACTAAGGAGAGCCCCAATTTGGCTGCAAAAGGTGGTAGTTGGTGCAGTTCCAAGAAGGATCTATGAATGGGTTCTACCAGTCAACAAAGCATGTTCAAAATGCTCTGTTTTTGCTCATTTCACTGTCCCATGTGTTTTTTGCTATGAATATTTTGCTATGAATTTAAATGATGACTTTCTTTTGCTCTTCCCTTAAGCTCCCAAACCTTTTAAAAATTATATATGCTGTCATTTGTGGCAATAATCATAGAATATGGCACCTACTGATATGGCACCTACTGATATGGCACATACTGATATGGCACCTACTGAGAAGATTTTGGAATCAAGAGAACAAAGGAAACCCCTGCAAGGCGCACGCTCTCACTACACCAAGAGACCTGGAGATTTTCTTTGTTTTTTACACATCTGTAAATAGACTGGAATGTTTTTAAGAATATAATGAAATGTCAGATTTAGCTTTCTTCCTTTTATATATTAAAATATATCTTTCCCTTTTTTTTTGCTTTTGAAAAATTGATATTTTTGTAGGAATCTAACAGTACAAGACTCTTAACTGTATGTGAGGGAGAAAGTGTAAAACTAAAATAAACCAATCAAGGTCGACTAGAAACTGGCTTTGAAAGTTTGTTACAGGGAGGGAGAGGGAGCAGAAATGATGTGGTGGCATGTGTTGTTGGTGACACGTGGCACTGGAGCTGAGCAAGTGACACACACATATGCTCTGAGGCAGAAGTTTTGGCAGCACAAACATCTGTGTTTTGGTTCAAATGATCGGACAGCTCGGAGGAGATTTCTCCCTTTAGTCTTCAGCAGTATGCAGGAAATATCATTGTCTGTAAGAAGAGATTTTGACTTGCTGAATGCGGAAAAGGTACTGAAGGGCTTTATTTTCACCAAGGTGCATTCTGATCAGGAAGCCAAGGGGCTTAATATTTGATCATGGCATAAAAAGAAAAAAACCCCAACAGCTGAAAGATTAAATGCACATAAAAGCACTCTCCAGATACCCTCCCTCAACCCCAAACTTAGATTTATCCTTTGTATCTATTTCCTTTAGAGACGTTCAGTGCCGGAGCTGTTCTACTGGGAACAGGTCTGCAGATCTGCCTTCAAATGAAGTGTTAGAGGAGAGGCTTTGTAAGAAGAAATAGATAAAATGCTTGTAATGAGTCACTGTCTATTGCTTTTATATCCATTAAGTGGGAGATAACACACTTGGAAATGTGGGGGGTTTTTTTGGTTGGGGGGGAAGTGTTTTGAGGGTTTTTTTTATTTTCTGTTATGTAGTAAACGTCTATAAATGAACAAGTCACAGGCCTGAGGTCTGAGGTCCAGACCTGAGAAGATACTGCAGAATTTATTGTTTTTTAAAGAGGAAGATCAGATCTCACAGGAGAAAATGAATAAAAATAGGTGACAGAGTCAATGTATTTTTGAAAACTTCTGATGAAACCCTTCAGCAAGGCCTCATCCCACTACTCCTTGTTTTAAGGAGTAAAGTCACTTCTTGGAATAGAAAGGAATATAAGCATAAGGTACATCCAGTCAGGCTTGCAATAGAAAAAACTTTCCAATAGTCTCATGAAAGTTACAGGGAGCTTTGCAGTAACTGATTCTAAAGCCAGATTTGAGTGCATAAATGCAACCCAAAAATTGCAGGACCAGTTTGTCCATAATTAGCAATGAATGGAATCTAAATTAATCACTGTCATTTGGGGTCATGGTAGTAGAGGAATTGTGATGCCATTTGTTATCGCTTAAGCTCAGTGTCTATTTGCCCTTTTAAGAGCTGCTATAGACCAAGAAGGCATCATTATACCACTGTATACTTGGTTATTCCTGTTAATTTGGATTTCGTGTTGCCTCAGATGGCAACAGCCCTTGTTGTCCATCTTGTGTCTCTTGGGAGTTGGAGGCCCGTGACAGGTGAGAGTTCTTTTGGAGATGTCCCCCTCTTCATTCTGAAACAGAATTCTACTCCTAGGAAGATTTAGAGTGTCCACTTGTCTGAGAGTCTTTTCTGATGAAGATAAAAGCCTCAGTCTGTCCTCCTCACCAGCCACCTGGGCCTTGCAGGCCGCCAGCACAAACCCGTACAGTATTTCAAGCAACTGGAAAATCTTTTGCCCCAGGCTTCCAGTCCCACAGCTTCCAGCACATTCATCAGTGCAAGCACATCCTGTCACCAGTGAGGCCTCCAGGACCCATAGTTGTGTCAGTAATCCACTTGTGCATCCATCCAGCAGCCTGGGGTGTCTGACCTATGTTGGTGCAGGGATGCCCCTGCGGTCCCCTGTTTCGGTGGGGCTGCTCTCTAACAGTCCGTTGCTGGCAGCAGAGTTCCTGTGATACAAACCACAAGCAAAGACCTCTCCTTTCTTTAATGATTCCATAACTGGAACCACTTACCTGGTTCATCTGGCTCTTGTGAGAGTTTCAGTTTTTGGTAGGACTGTCAGTGTACAGGACTCTGATTCCTCGAGGTTACAGCTATTGGCCCTGGCTCTCCTCTGGTGAAAGATGCTGGAAATCAAAGTGGAGGTGACATTTTAACCAGCTGTCCCTGCCCACTTGGCTCCTCAGTTCTCAGCATGAGAGTAACAGCTGGCTGTACTAGGATCCCTGCCTGTGTGAGATGTGGATGTGAAGGGGGTGTCTATCAGTGGGCAGCCATGCATATCTGGCCCCAGTCAAAACTACGTGGGTGTGAACAGGGATCAGTTTGTCCTCTGTCAGCTCGGAGGAGCAGGAGAGGGGCTTTCCTGCCTGATTTTGACTTCCTTTCCTCTCTCTGGCTAGCCCAGGGCTCCCTGTAGTTTCCCCATGCAGTGCGGAGCGGTGCCTCTGGGAAGCGCCGCAGCGTGCTGTGCCTCGTGGGCTGAAACCAGGCAATTAAAGAGCAGCTAAAAAAAGATACGCAAACAAACTGTGTGCCATTTTTAGTGGCTTTCAGCAGCGATTAACTCCTTGGGCAACAGCTGTATGAAACAGCTTGCCTGCCTCTTCCCGGTCTGTCCCTCTGAACAAACCTCAGGCCTGCTGGGGCAGATCTGCTGCCGAGCAGGGAGACGTGTGGAACTGCAGCTCTGCCCCGGCTTCTCCAGTGCATGGAGCTATACGGGCACAAGGCTTTTAGGCAAGGTCTGTAGGCTGACGTGGGTCTGCAGAGCTTATGTTCGCAATGCGCTCTAGTTCGCAGCTGAGGCTCCTGAACACTGCAAGGATATAAAACACTATGCTGCTGAGGTGCCACTGGACCTGGAAAATGGACTTTGGATCCCTGGACCTTGGGATCTAGTGGTCTTTCAGGGTTACTAGATAAAAAATGTAAAATAACCCCAGTGTTATTACCAGTCATCTT